CACTGCGCCTCCTCTGATTCTCGGTATGCTTTTCTCTTTCCTTCTAGTTGTAGAATTTCCACTCAGCCAGCCTTCCTGTGGTTCTGGATGATGTCCGTTCCGTCCTTTAGTTGTATTTTTGAAGTGGTTGTGCGAGGCAGCAATCTCCGGTGTTTACCTATGCCGCCATCTTGGTTCTCCTCCGATTTAAATATTTTTAAACTGTAACTTCCAAAATCACAATCTTGGATTGTGAAGACAAGAAAGCTGTTTCTGCAGTTTACTAGTGTCTGGGAATATTTTCGTTTGTCAATGAGAAGACAAAACTTATAAACATGTTTTAAAATATAAATTTAGCCCAGCTGGTGTAGTTCAGTGGTTGAGCGTCAGCCTATGAAGCAGGAGGTTACAGTTCAATTCCCGGTCAGGGTACATGCCCAGGTTATGCGTTTGATTCCCAGAAGGGGGTGTGCAGGAGGCAGCCAATGGGTGATTCTCTCTCATCATTGATGTTTCTATCTCTCCCTCTCCCTCTCTGAAATCAATAAAAAAATGTTTCAAAAATACAAATTTATTCTTGCTAGTAGTTGCAAGTATTACAACAGTTTAATCTGAGGTCTGTAATTAGCATGACTTGTTTTTAACATAGGTAGATTTTGCCACAATGAGTTCAAAATACTTTGCTGGAATGCCGTTATGAATAGCTGTGTGTGTGTGTGTTTTGGGGGGGGGGGGGTTAGCTATGGGCTGGGGTTTAGGAATTTAAGCCAGTATTTAACCTATTTCAAATGGAATTGAGGAATAAATTTTCTGATGGTATTAATTGCCAATGTCCATTTCCCACAACACACTTTGCGTATATATTTTGCACCAAAATAACTATGGTACTCCAGAAAATAGGGTAATGGGGTTAAGTACTGTTCTCATTATCCTTTAAGACATAGTAGCCTCTAGCCATGGGCATTCAGCTCCAAATATTTCCATATGGCACATAAATCATAATGTCATTACAGCATAATTTTTTTTATGCATGCGCTCCTCAGCCATGATCATCTTCATCAAAATTGTCCATGACAGTGGTCGCCAACCTTTCGGACCTCACTGACCACCAGTGGTCCGGGACCACCCGTTGGAGATTGCTGGTCTATGATATTAACTCAGCATAAAACAAGTTCTTTTTGTTTGCTTTAATAAAGAAAGAAACAATAATGCAAGTGTTTTATATAAAATAAAGCAATGGCTATATGTGCAAAACTTCGGGTTTGGTGTTTTGGGAAGGAGGAGGGAATGTTGACAGGGAAGAAGAGTCCTTTATTTCATAACCATGTTCTTCTGCCTGTTTCTTATTCCAAATCTCCTAAGGGTGTCAAGAAGGCCAGTATGACTGCAATACTTTATAGCATGAGGCAAAGAATAACATGAAATGAAAGCAGCCTGTGTATTGCTTTAAGACAGTTATTAGAAACCACTCACTAATTCAGAAGCCAGTGAGTCATCAGGGCATGAGAATGGAAGGTGGGAAGGAGTGGGCCCTGTGAACTACCAAAGACAGAGTGGTACCCACATTTCTAAAATGGGACTGTGTTCTGTGCCTTAATACTAACGTATGCCTGATAACCTGGTGATAATTCATAGTTTAGTAGTTTACAACATTTTTAGAAAGCACATAATAGTAACATTCAAATAAGACATTATAGAAAGTTTTACAAAGAACAGATTGTTTACTGTAATCCTTTTTAAAAGCCTTGGTCCATTTTGAAAGATCAAGTTGAGTTTTAAAAAATCAAAAGAAAGGAAAAGTTTTTTCTCCCCACAAAATACATAAGAACCACTTATTGGCATTTGAATTTTAAGTGCCTAGAATAAAACAAAATATATTTTCTGTTAATAACAGCTTGTACAAGGACTTGTTTCATTTGATCTGGCACCAAGCAAAGTCAGAGTAAATATGCCACTGAAGATAGTCGAGTTTCTCCCCCTCTCGTATTGCTCCACTCCTCCTACCAGACCACAGTACATAAGCAGGCATCCTTATTGCCCCAGTAAGGAATCAAATCATTTTTATTTTTTAAAACAGCTGCTTAGGTTACACTCATCAGCAAAGTTCTTTACCCTTAAGATAGGACAACAGTGAATGCTAGGAATAAACTCCTTCAGCAAACTCGATTAGTTTCCTCGTCCTGGCTTCCCTTTCATTGCCATACCAGTTAATTATGATTGCTGTATTTGTCAAGGGAATTTTCCCCAGGCAAACGTGATCTGTTTCCCAGTGACAGCGCATGCTTACTTTACCTAGTGCCATGGGTGTGTGTTTTTAATTCTTTTTTTTTTCTACTTGAATGTTACTCATCAAGGCAGATCAGACATTTTGATTAAAAAGAGAAACTGGCAAGTAGATCCAAAAGCACATCTCTTAACCAAAGTAACGTCTGAAAACATAGGTCTTTACATTTTCCTTTGAAAAGTCAACTCCAGTCTTTTTGCAGGACTTATGTCAATTTCTAATATAAATACTTCCCTATATGCTAACTGATACATTTTTATACCAAATTGAAAATTCTGAGTAACTTGAAGGTACATTTAACAACAAAATAAATACATCATATATGGCTAGCTTATAAATTTCTTCGTGTAGAGGCAACAGTGAATTTGCATCCTGCAACTAGTCTGTAAATCCAGTTGCTTTTTTTCTGGAATTTTATAGACACACTGTACCACAACACTGTGTCCCGCGGAGCTAGGTATGGCTTTTTTGGCATCACTCTAAGCAAAAGCCTCTGATGAGACTTTCCCCAAATGACATGGAATTTTTTTCTTTACTTTTCCAGAAAAATAAGGAAACTTTATTAACCACTTAATCTTCTGAACAAACGTTAGAGTGCAACCGATTGCTCTTTTAATTATGCTCTAAACGACTTTTCAAAAGTTCTGTTAGACATCTCTGATGTTTTCGAATTGTACAACCATAGAAGATAACTGGATAAAACATACTAGATGATGTCAAAAGACAAATCTTAGTATTTGGCACATCTTAATTTCCAGAATAAAATCAGCAGAAATGAACTAATACAATTTTTTAAGAATTCATACATGTCCAAGTCTTAGGACAAGGAGCTTCTGAATGCACAGATAAGGAGCTTCTGCTCATCTTACTAGTTACACCGGCTTTTCCTCAAGGAGTAACTGATGATTTCTGGTTAATTTGTGGCACTTTTGTTTGTAGGAAGGCATATACATCGGGCCAGATCTTGTTGGTTTCGGTTCCGGAGAATGTTTCCAACACTCCTTTTTTCCTAAAGGTGACAAAACCAAAAACACAAGTCTGAGTCTTCCTCATAAACTCTTTCAAAGTGATTCTTAAAAGACTAGAGGGCCCTAACTGGTTTGGCTCAGTGGATAGAGCATTGGCCTGTGGACTCAAGGGTCCCAGGTTCGATTCCAGTCAAGGGCATGTACCTTGGTTGCGGGCACATCCCCAGTGGGGGGTGTGCAGGAGGCAGCTGATCGAAGTTTCTCTCTCATCGATGTTTCTAACTCTCTATCTCTCTCTCTTCCTCTCTGTAAAAAATCAATAAAAAATATATTTTTTTAAAATAAAGACTAGAGGCCCAGTGCAGGAATTCGTGCATAGGTGGGGTCCGGACAGCCCAGCCCAATCGGCCCCGGGACACAGGAAGTTGGCTGGCCAGCCCCACCCCCAATTGGGGTGGGGAGGGCCAGCCATGGGGAGGGGCTGTGGGTGGTTGGCCAACTGGCCCCACCCCTGGTCAAATTCCCCGGTTGAACTCCCGGTCGAAGGGACAATTTGCATATTAGCCTTTTATTATATAGGATGATAATGTGGATGTGGTCTCCATAAGTGTAGGTCTGTGTGATCAAGAGAGAGAGGCATTTGGCTGGGCATTGGGAAACCTGGGTTTTGGTTTCACTTGTGTCCTCTGGCTTATGGAAGTGGTCACAAGATTCCAATGGGATTGTCCCCACTTCCCAGCTTCAAGGATGGACATGATGAACTCATCAGTGCCAACTCTAGGACTTCTGTTGTCCAAGAGGCTCTCTTTTCTGCTAGGGTAGCTGAACTGGTAGGAGGTTAAGTGCGGTAAGCAGGAGTTGAGGGACTTACACAGGGAGAGCCCACCTGAGATTGAGGCCAACACAGGAAAATGGAGCTGAAAGTGACGAGGCCGAGGACACTGAACAAGCTGGACTCAGCATTCACCTTTGGACATTTTAGTTACAGGACCAATAAATTTCCCTTTTGCTTAGACTAGTGTGAATTAGGTCCCTGATTGGTATAAGTACATTTTATGATAAATACCATTTACCCACCTCTCTGCCTTACCCACAGATAGAAGGTGAGAGTTTTTTGGGTTTTGGCAGGGTAAATAATAGCTAACACTGAGTGATTTAATAGTGCCAGGGCTGCCGTAAGTCTTTATGTGGATTCTCTCACTTAATTCCCCTAATGACCTTACAGAGGAGGTACTATTTAATATTGCCCTGATTTTACAAATGAAAAATTTGTGGCATAGAGGTTGAATCCCTTGCCCAGAGCCCCAGTGCTGGCAATCTGCAGAGCCAGCCTCATTACACAAATCACAAAATTACAGTAACAGCTACTGTAGAAAGTGGATCGCCAACTCCCTTATAATTTTAACCTCCAGAAATAGCTATTAAAACAGTGTGCAGACTATTATTTTAGTTTCACCGCATACTTTCTCTCTTACAACAACAATAGCTGATCATTATAAAGTGCTTACTATGTGTCAGAAATAATTCTAAGAGTTACACATATGAACTCAATCTTTCAACCTTCTATTCTAACCCCCATTTTGCAGAGGAGAAAACAGGTTAAGACCAAGATGATAAATGAGGAGCTGGGATTTGAACTTAGTCTGGCTCCAGAGTCTGTGCCCTAAACACAACACTGTTCTGTCCTGACAACTGTCATTATTCAGTAAGTGAATGAATAAAAGGAGAGGGGATAGGTGAGCAAGGAAACTAGATTGTTTCTTAGCCTGTGTCAAATATTATTTAGTATAGATCCCATATTCTGTTGTGGAAGTCTCTGAAGAGCAAACAAAACTAGGTTAGAATATAAGCTTTTAGCCAGGCCGGTGTGGCTCAGTGATTGAGCGTCAACCTATGAAACAAGGGTCACGGTTTGATGCCCGGTCAGGGCACATGCCTGGGTTTCGGGCTCAATCCCCAGTGTGGGCCATGCAGGAGACAGCCAACCGATGATTTGCTCTTATCATTGATGTTTCTATCTATCTCTCTCTCCCTCTCCCTTCCTCTCTGAAATCAATAAACATATATTAAAAATTTTTTTAAAAGAATACAAGCTTTTAAAGATGATTAACCAAATAAATGATCTGAGAATTGGTTGCCATTTGAGTCTTCTGTCCTATAGGCACAGGAAGTGGATATTATTGGGGTTGCTTCCCCAGCATTCATTCCAGCCCTCCCTCCACCAGACTGCAGAATCTGGGTGAGACTGACCCACTCGCAGCTCCAGGTGTGGACCAATCACTCCCACCCCAGTGACTGCTTCAGGAATGGGCAGAAACCTAGGCCACCAGCAGTGAGTGCAGGGCATTCTCTGACCACAGTGGCTGTTCCAGTGGGTCCAGCCTGCATGACACTTGGGGCTTGTGTTCACTGGGGGAAAGGTGACCCCTCAGCCCTTCAGGAAAGGGCTGTTCCTGGCAACTGTCAAAGCCAATACAAAGCTGAGAGAATGGCAAAACTGATCAAACTGAAGCGTGACGGAAGCCCAGCCTACCATCTGGACTTCTCTATTACACACGCTAATGCACTGCCTCTATGGTCTGATTCAATTTGAACTGGATCTTCTGATGTTTTAACATTTTAGCTGTAAAGCATGGACGATGGAAAACTGCCTCAGTGCCTGATCGTGCAAGAGAAGTTCTGAACAGCGACAGACTCACTGGTAGTATTCCAAGACTGGCTCTGTCTGAGCTTCGTAAGCCTTCAGTCTCTTGGCAACCGTCTCCGGTTTATCGTCCTCACGCTGCACGAGAGGCTCCCCAGTCAGATCGTCGATGCCCTAAATGGGAGTCAGGACACGCCGGTATCAAACCTTTTTATAAGCAGTTACAGGACTTTTTAACAGGTTTCTTCTCCGTGCAAACACCAAGCACACAAATGTACTTTTAAACAAACGGAATCAAATCCGAACCCAGATCACTGCAGCACAGACCCCGGCAGTCACCTTCTCCTTAGAGTAAAAGGTTTTCTAAGCAGCCTCTAAATAATGTCATGTTGTGGACGAAAAAGGGGTCTTACAGAAAGTACCCTCACAGGGTGACCCGATCATAAATTCCTAACGGGGCAGGTCATAGTGGGTAGTCATGCCCCAGGCATAAAACTTCTTTAGGAAAAGGGTTATCTTTGCCTTAAGTAAGGCCTGTCCATTGTTTCTGGGCATCTAGGTGACACACCTTTGAAATGACTCTTTCAGACCCCTCAGAAGCCACCTTCAAGAGAACATATAATCTTTTTAACTATCCTGTAATCCAATCCCCACCTTCTCGTCATCTTCCTGATGTTCCCTCCTTAATTCCAAATGCATGAAAGCTGCTGCCAACTGCCATTCTGGGGAGCATTTTTTCTCAGTCTGTTGGGATCTTGTTTCCAGGCGTATCCTGTTTGGCTCAAATTTTTATAGACATTCTGTGTAGGTTTGGGCGTTCTTATGTTGACCTAAATAAGCCAAGGTGTCGCTAATCCCTATTGCCCCAACTCCTAACACACCCCCTGACAGAGTAGAAAATCAATAAATGCTTTCGAGGGATTAACAAACCCCTGTCACTCCTGGGACACCTCTACTATCAACCTGAGTGGACCAGACAAGGGCTACACCAGAACCTGAGACTGTACCCTTAGGAGTTTGGGGCAGGAAGGATTTTCCAAGGTCATAAAACTTCTGCCTGTGAGAGCAAGAGGCCTCGGGGACTGCTATGAGGAAGGCCGGTTCCACCACAACTACTCACCACAGTTTTGGGAGGGTTGAATTCGATGTTGTAGACTCGGCCGCTGGCCGGATGAATCCAGCGAGCTGTGAGGCGCTGCTTAATGACCTCAAAGGGCACCTTCAGATTAATCACGGTGTCTATTTTATAAACTTTATCCAGGGCTTTTGCCTGAGGAAGAGTCCTTGGGAAACCTTTACACACACACACACACACACACACACGAGAAGGAAGAAAGGGAGGGAAGAAGGAAGAGAATGAATAAATGTTGAGCAATCTGAACAGAAGCAGTAACACCAGCCAAGTGGAGCACAGCTGTAGGGCAACTGTGATAATTTCATGTGTTGACTTGATTGGGCCACGGGATGCCCAGATATTTGTTCAAACATTATTTTGGGTGTGTCTGTGAGAGCGTTTTGGATGAGAGTAACATGTAAATTGGTAGACTGAGTAAGGCAGATTTTTCTCCCTAATGTGGGTGGGCCTCATCTAATCCACTGAAGGTCTTAATAGAACAAAAGGGCTGACCCTCCCCTGAATAAAGAGGGAGGTGGGACGTGGGCTTTCTCCTGCCTTCAGACTGAAACTGACACAGCTCTTCCTGGGGCTCCAGCCTACTGGCCTTCAGACTGGAAGCGCTCCTGCACCCCCAGCTTACCAGCTCACCCTGAAGATCCTGGGACTTGTCAGCCTCCATGATCATGTGCGCCCATTGCTTACAATTAATGTCTCTCTGTCTCTCTGTCTCTCTCTCCCTCCCCGGAAACTAAAAATCAACCCATTCGGCACACCTCTGCCGGTTTACAGCTGATTTTAAATTACCCTCCAGCTTTCCTGTGTGGTAAACCTCTCTTGCCATAAAATATTCTTAAAAGGGGGGAAGGAACTAAAGTCACATCTGAAGGGACCTTAGGAATCATGCAGTCCACAGCCCTCCCATGCAGATGAAGAAGCAGGCCCAGAGAAGGTGACAGGCCGAGGCCGCAGGGTGAGCAGTGGCAGAACTCGGGCTCTTTGCCCACCATCCATGAGGTCTCTGCAGCCCAGGAAATGCTTGTTCTGCTGCCCGCACTCATTCTGGGCAGCTGAAATGCTAGTGACATGTCACTTACCATCCAAGAGCCAGTTATACTGGGTGAGGTTTTTCAGCTCATGCAAGGCCAGTCGAGTCATGATATCATCTGGGATGAGCTTCCCTTGTTCAATGAAAGTCTTGGCTAACACACCAATTTCTACAGCAGAATGAGGGGGGAGAGCAAATCAGCAACTTATACGATCACAAAAGTGAAAAGACAACCCACTGAATGGAAGAGCGTTTTTATAAATCATGGATCTGATAAAGAACTTGTATTTAGAATATCTAAAGAATTCTTACACCCTACCCGTGGTCGGCAAACCGCGGCTCTCGAGCCACATGCAGCTCTTTGGCCCCTTCAGTGTGGCTCTTCCACAAAATA